TTGTTTGTCGTAAAATTTCATTTGTGGAAGATAATTTTGCGAGTGCAGGACTTGTAATTGTATCACTTAATGAAGCATCGCTTGTTGGTGAAGAATAAACCTCTCTCAAATTCTTCATTTCTATTAGAGAATTATCTAGTCCATCAATTTGTTTCTTTTGTTTTTGCAAAAGTTCACCGGTATCACCGTATTTAATTGTAGAATCAGCAAAATCTCCAGCTAAAGTTTCTATTTCCTTTTGAAGTCTTTCAACTTGTTTTAAAAGTTCTTCGTTGGTTTTTTCTTGTCCTTTCTTATCAGATTCAAGTTTTTTATTCATCTCTTCTAATTTATCAACACGTTCCTGATATGCTTTAGATTCATTACGTGCCTTCCTCAATTGTTTATTAAGATCTTCGACTATGGAAATATCAACTTTTTGGAAACCATGGATTAAAGCATCTTTGTATGCATCATCAAGTTCAGATTGTAAATTTATACATTGTTCTTTGAGCTTGTTAATTTCTTCTGCAGCATCTTTAACTTTAGAACTTGCTTCATCACGACGTTTTTCAGCCTCTTGAATTTGAAGTTCCAAAGTTTTAATAAGATTAGTTTGTTCTGCTGCTGCTGCTCTAGCTTCTTCAAGTTCAGCCTTAACTTTAACTAAGGAAGCTTTCAATTCGACATATTCTGCTTTTGTTGATAAATCATCAGGATTTACTACTGTAACTTCTAATTCCATAACAAGGTCAGATGATACACATTCACGAAGTTTTGTTTGAATACCACAAAGTTTAACTTCAAGTTCATTAACACGTTCACATTCGATGGCTTCTGAAATTCTTGCATTATCAAGTTGAATTTTGGCTTTTTCTGTTGAAGCTTCTAATTCTTTGAGAAGAGCATCTTTGGTGGAAAGTAATTGTTCTTTTTCTAATATAGCAGCATTAGTTTCTTTCAATTTAACTTCAAGTCCAATTACAACTTTTGAACGACTCTCTTCTTGTTTTTTTGCCTCGTCTAACTGTAATTCTACAGTAGCAAGATTATCTCTAAGTTTAACGATCGTTTCTAAATCCATCTGGGATGAAGTTTTTGCTTCAACAAGTTCTTCTCGTAATGAGGAGATAATTGATTCAAGTGTAGCAATCGCAACTTTTTGTTCAGTTTCTTTGGCTTCAAGCTCCATGATTAATTCCTTTTCACGTTTAAAATATTGGTCACGTTCCTGTTCTGCCGCCATCATTTGAGTTCCTAATTCTGCTAAAAGTTGATTCTGTGCACTCATTTTATGTTTAGCATTGAATAATTCTTCTCGAAGAATTGAAGCTTCTTGGTCATTAGTTTCGTTTGATGCAGACAATTCTTGAAGTTGAATTTCCAAAACTTGGATTCTATTCTCTCCTTCATCTCGTTGTTTCAAAGTATCACTTAATAATTTAGATAAATCTTCAAGTTTCTTACTAGCTTCTTGATTGTCTTGTTTAGATTTAGTTAATTCCTCTCTCACTTGCTTTAATTCTCCTTCTATAGTGATTACAAGTTCCTTTTGTGCACCAAAATCTTTTTTTAAAAGATTTAATTCAGTAAGTGCTTGTTCTTTAGCTTGAGTGGTTTCTTGAAGTTCTCCTTCGAGAGTAGTTATAACTTCCTTTTTTGCACCAAACTCTTTTTTTAAAAGATTTAATTCTATGAGTGCTTGTTCTTTGACTTGAGCAGTTTCTTGAAGTTCTTTGATTTGTTTTTGTATTTCTTCTTCTCGTCTCATGATTTCAGAAAGTTGAAGTCTTAAAGTAGTAGCTTCAGATTCTTTATCCAAAAGTTGTTGTTGGATATTATTTTTATCTGATAAATCTTTCCTCATTTCTTCAATGAGCTCATGTTTACTGTTGATGTCTAATTTTAGTGCTTCAAGTCGTGATCGTAACTCTGCAACCAATTCTGTTTCACTTGTCAAATTCTCAATTAAGTCAGACTTACTAGATAATTCTTGTTGTAAAGCTAAAAGATTTGCTTCAAGCATGTCAACAGTTTTTTGTGTTGGATCTGCAATATCTGAAATCGAATCTTTTGCTTCATTAAGTGATACAATTACAAGTCCTGCACTCGCAAAATTATCTTCCACAAATGAAATTTTACGACAAACAA